GAGACGGGGTTTCACCGTGTTGACCAGGATGGTCTCGATCTTGACCTCGTGATCCACCCGCCTCGGCCTCCCAAAGTGCTGGGATTACAGGCGTGAGCCACCGCGCCTGGCTGTTCCTAATATTTTTAATAGCCTGTTTACATTAGCTCTTGGTGGCTTACATTAGCGCTAATGGCTTACATGATTAGAATTGGTAATGACTCATTAAAAATATATAATAGATGAGGAACTTTAGAGCTCTCTAATCTGGATCAGATTTAGGTACTTGAGGGTCTTTGAGGGCAGGGAATCAAGAGCAAGGAGAATGGGAAGGACTTATTTTACAGATCCTGTTCAAAACCTTTGCTCATTTTCATTTTCATTTTCCTCCTTTCAGCTTTTTACCTCTCATCTTGTTAAACTCATTCTTGTTCAGATGTACCTTATTGTTGCTTTTCTAGCCTTTAAGTATTAGTCTTCGGTTTCCTCAAGGATGAATTATTAATAACTTTTACTTTGCTAATCCCTTTTCCATACTCCTGGCAAAACAAATCACAAATGCAATGTTTTGTAAAATGTGTCATAAATAATCTTAGATGTCGTTCAAGTTGATTATACCACATTTTATATATTTCTAATGTTTTCATGGATGTTTGTATTTCCAGCCCAGCTATCTTTCCTGAACTCGTCTCGTATATTTAACTGTCTACTCTACGTCAGTTATTGGAACTCCTTTGCTCAGGCTAAACACCTTGGAGTCGTCCTTGCTTCTCTTTTTCTCTTCTCTTCCCACATCTAATCCCTTAGAAATCCTGCTGCCTTTACCCTCAACATATGCAAAGTCGAAGCACTTCTGCCACCATTGTGACTTTTCTAGATTACTGCCGTAGTCATTTAGCTAACCCCTGCTTCAGCCCTCTTATCCCTACAGCTTCTCTCCAGACAGCAGCTGTAGTAATCTTTTAGAGTATAAGGGAGATCATGTCACACCTCTGCTTTAAATCTGTAATAGCTCTTTTTTCACTCAGAGTGAAAGGTGAAGTTGTTACTATGGCCTGCATGATCTGGCCCTCTGTTACCTCTGCGACCTCATCTCTTACTCTGTTCTAACCACAGTGGCTTCCTTGCTGTCTCTCAGACATGCCAGGCATGCCCCGACCTCAGCACCTTTGTGCTAGCTGTTGCCTATGCCTAGAATCCTTTCCCTCTAGATGTCCGTATGGGTAGATAACTCACTTGCTTCACATTGTAGCTCACGTTTCACCTTCATGAGAACTACTCTAACCACCCTCTTGAATGCTACAACCTGTTCACTCTCCCTCTGTCTTCTCAATCTTCCTAATATGCCTCTATATATCCTCTTCACCTTAGAACTTACCACCTTCTAAGATACTAATTATGCTATTTATTATGTTTCTTTTTTATTTTCTATCTTCTGTTAGAATGTAAACCTCATGAGGGTAGAAATCTTTGTTTCGGTTGCTTTTGTATCTTAAGCATCTAGAACAGTGGTTCCTCTGTCTTAATAAGTGTTATATAAATATTGGTTGAGTTCAGTGAAAGATAATATATTTGGTGATTTGGGAGCGCTGCCATTACCTAGGGTATTTAATTTAGTAGACTTTGTTGTTATCTGATCAGTAAAGCAGTTGTTATCTAGTATACCATCTATAGTTTGAAAATAGCATCATTGGGAGAAATTTTATTTATTTATTTATTTTGAGACCCAGTCTCGTTCTGTCGCCCAGGCCGGAGTGCAGTGGCGCAATCTCGGCTCACTGCAATCTCCATCTCCCAGGTTCAAGTTACTCTGCCTCTTCTTCCCAAGGGATTACAGGCACACGCCACCACACCCAGCTAATTTTTGTATTTTTAGAAGAGATGGGGTTTCACCATGTTGGCCAGGCTGGTCTTAAACTCCTGGCCTCAAGTGATCCACCCACTTTGGCCTCCCAAAGTGCTAGGATTATAGGCTTGAGCCACCGCACCTGGCCAAAATTTTATTTTTTATTGCTATTATTCATGCTTTTACATGTTTTTAATGATGCTTATTGGACTCCAAAGTCCTCAAATAGCAGCACTGTCTTTTACTTGCTTTGGACAATGTATAATATGAGGCATCTAAACAGATCATGAATTATTCTTATTGATTAATAGGTAGAAAGAATAGGCAATCTAGGACAGGGAAATAGAGATACAGTAAAAGATTAGGGGTAGGCTTTAGTAAATTAAAAACATGTGCCTGAGGCTTTCTCTTTTCCTGTCCTAGGGCATCTGACTGGAAATTAGACCAGCCTGATTGGACTGGTCGCCTCCGAATCACTTCAAAAGGGAAGATTGCCTATATCAAACTTGAGGATAAAGTTTCAGGTAATCTTTGCAGGTGACTCTAACAATAAGGATATTAGTTTGGTGTGCTTTTGTAAGTACCTTCAAGTTGGGGACTGGAATGGAAATGCTTGTTAACTAGAGTTCTGGGTTTTGGCTTTCTTCGCTCAGAAAAGTCTTTTTCTTATCTGTCAGGGGAGCTCTTTGCCCAGGCACCAGTAGAACAATATCCTGGTATTGCTGTGGAGACAGTGACAGATTCCAGCCGCTACTTTGTGATCCGGATCCAGGATGGAACTGGTAAGAGAAATGGGATTTTTGAATGGGATGAAGTTAGGAAAACAGGTGAATGCGCAGCCATGAAAAGTGTGTCTGATCGCATTTATCTTTCTTTGGTTTACTATATTTTTTCTTCCCTTTATCTAAAGTTACTATAGTTGCTAAAGGAAAAGTATTAACATGTTATTTGTAATAGATATGAACAAAAGTTCAAGATGCGGTAATTCATATGTAGACTTACGAATCAAAACGTATACCTAACAAAAGAATTAACACATTTTACAGTTTGGGAGGCCAAGACGGATGGATCACCTGAGGTCAGGAGTTTGAGACCGGCCTGACCAATATGATGAAATCCTGTCTCTATTAAAAATAGAAAAATCAGCTGAACATGGTGGTGCGTGCCTGTAATCCCAGCTACTCGGGAGGCTGAGTCCAGAGAGTTGCTTGAACCGGGGAGGTGGAGGTTGCAGTGAGCCGAGATCGCACCATTCCACTCCAGCCTGGGCAACGAGAGCAAAACTCTGTCTCAAAAAAAAAAAGAATTAACACATTTTGCTTATTTATTATTTGTGATGAGACTATCTTGAATCATCTATGTGTGGGGCAGTAGTTCTCAGTCTTTCAGTCCTTTCTCCATGGTCTATAACAGAGGTTGGCAAGCTGAGACGAATAATAAATTCTTCAAGTTTTGCAGGTCAAGTGGCCTCTGTTGCAACTACCCAGTTTTGCTGCTGCAGTGTGAAAGCACTGTAGAAAATATGTAAACAAATTGATATGGCTATGTTCCAATAAAATTGTTTCTACAAGACCAAGCTATGATAGGATAAGGTCTGTGGGCTGTATGTAGCTTACTCACTCTTGGTCTTGAGAAATTCACAGACTTTGACTAGTGAGGGTGACTGTTATATTTTCATTGGGAAAAAGTTGCCATGGAGCATCAGTCCCCAACCTTTTTGGTACCAGGGACCCATTTTGTGAAAGACAGTTTTCCGTAGACCGGCATTAGGGGATGGTTTCAAGATGATTCAAGTGCATTACGTTTATTGTTCACTTTATTTCTACATGTAGTATGCTGACTCTTGGTCTATGAGAAAATGTGATTATTACATTGTAATGTGTAATGAAATAATCATACAACTCACTATAATGTAGAACCAGTGGGGACCTTGAGCTTGTTTTCCTGCAACTAGATGGTCCTGTTTGGGGGTGATGGGAGACAGTGACAGATCATCAGGCATTAGATTTTCATAAGGAGCATGCAGCCTAGATCCCTCACATGCACAGTTCACAGTAGGGTTCACTCTCCTGTGAGAATCTAATGCTGCCACTGATCTGACAGGAGGCAGAGCTCAGGTGGTAATACAGGCAATGGGGAGCGGCTGTGAATACAATGAAGCTTTGCTCTCTTGTGCGCAACTCACCTCCTGTTGTACGGCCTGGTTTCTAACAGGCCACGGACGGGTACTGGGGGTTGGGGCGTCCTGCCATAGAGGATACTTCCTAGTCGAGTCTTCCTACCTTTTTCACAGGGCGCAGTGCTTTCATTGGCATTGGCTTCACAGATCGGGGAGATGCCTTCGACTTTAATGTCTCCTTGCAGGATCACTTCAAGTGAGTGAAGCTTGTCCTTAGTTACCAGGTTGGTTATAGGAATGCCGCTTCTCACATGAATGGGCAGCATCTTTTTTACCTCCTGGTTTCTTTATTTCTTAGCTACTTCATTATGAATATAAATCTCCCCATTCACTTTTGTTTCCTTAGGTCATCTTTGTATCTATTCCATGTTTCCTTTCCTTATAGCCTGCAATATGTTTTAGAGCCCTTGTGCTGTAGTTTGAAGTGATGCTCTGTTGAATTTGCCCCATTTTTTAGGTGGTAGAGGGAGGCTGACAGTAACAGCAGTGCTTTATCTGGGGAGCTGTGTGCCACTCTTGTTGCCTTATGTAGCTGACATGTTTTGTGACTATTGCAACATTTCTTTAGCCCGCTTGATTTTGCTGAAGCTGGGGTTGACAGCGCTATGCACACCATCAGCTTCCTACCTCAAGAGCAAGCATATTTTTTTTCTGCCTCAGAGCTCTCTGAAGTTGTAGAAGGCTAAGTGCAAGGTTTAACTTGGAAAGACTAAGAAACTAACACCCTCTCAGGAGCAGCCCCCAAATGTGGGGAATGGGAATTGGCTAAATGCCATCCTTTTGGAAGGGGCAAGTCTGATATGTATTCCTTAAGATTTTTCAGAGAGTCCCCAGTGGGATTGAACCCCAGTTGTTTTCTCTCTTGGCTTTTTTTCCTTTCTTTTCTCATTCCTTTTTATCTCTCACTGTGATTTCTGGAATCCCATTTCATAAAGGTAAATTAACTCAAATTTGTATGTCAGACTCTGCTTTCAGGAAATCTCAAACTAAGATAACTTGCTGTGTTCCCAAAGGTGGGTAAAGCAGGAATCTGAGATTTCCAAGGAATCTCAAGAAATGGATGCTCGTCCTAAGTTGGATCTGGGCTTCAAGGAAGGACAGACCATCAAGTTGAGTATTGGGGTGAGTATCGTTTTAAAAAATTTTGTTTTCCTATGCTTCTATAAGCCTGTGACATCTTTCTCTTGTTCTCCCTTTTTTCTTTTGTAGAACATTACAACCAAGAAAGGAGGTGCTTCTAAGCCCAGGACTGCAAAGGGTGGAGGCCTGAGCTTACTCCCACCCCCGCCAGGAGGCAAAGTCACTATTCCCCCACCATCCTCCTCAGTTGCCATCAGCAATCATGTCACTCCTCCACCCATTCCAAAATCTAACCATGGAGGCAGTGATGCAGGTAAATCTAGCACTTCTAATTTTGAGAAATCCAGTCTTACGTTTTAAATGAGAAACACCTGTTTGTCAAGGAGAGTTGGTGTTTTTGCTACAAAATAGCTCATGGTACTGACAAGGTGATTCTGGCGGCTTCTAGCAAGGAATCAAAGCTTTTCTGGAACTAAGAGTCATAGTGTCTCGTAGGTTCTTTGGCAGAAAATATATGCGTATTAAAAAGACTATTTCCTTCATTTTTTTCTTGGTTAGATGCTTATAGGTTTTTAAGTCAGATGTACCAAGATTTTTGGTCATGGCTCTGCCACTTTATATTTGAATGTGCTTGGTAAATACCACTTAAGTTTTTTGAGTCTCAATTTCCTTATCTACCAACTGGAGATGTAAAATCACCCCAGCTGGCCACCTTGGCTCACCCCTGTAATCTCAATGCTTTGGGAGACTGAGGTGGGTGGATTGCTTGAGCTTAGGAGTTTGAGATCAGCCTGGGCAACGTGACGAAGCTCCATCTCTACAAAAAAATACAAAAATTAGTTGGACCTGGTGGTCACGCCTATAGTCCCAGCTATTCGGGAGACTGAGGTGGGAGGATGGCTTGAGCCTGGGAGGTTGAGACTGCAGTGAACCATGTTTGTGCCACTGTACTCCAGCCTGGGTGACACAGGGAGACCCAATCTCGTTAAAAAAATAAATAAATAAAATAAAGAATACCATCTTAAGATAGTGAGGGTTAAATTATTTGATAGCACCTAGCATAGCACTTGGAATGTAGTAGCCATTTAGTAAATGTTATCTCTTAAGCCTTCCCATTTCTTCACAAGAGCGTTTGGGAGAAAAGGAGAAGATATCTAGTTTTGTGCATACACTTTCATTCTTTCTGGTGGGAGAAGGAATAAGTATGGTTATAGCTTCTCATTTGAAAAATGAGAGCATTGGAACTGAGAAAAGAATTTTTCTAAGGTTGGAGAACTATATCTTAGAATCTGGGAATTTTAACGTAATGTATTGGATGGACAATGCAGACAATCTGTTGAATTGATTACTAAGGGTAAGCTTTCTGTTTCTGGAATTTTTGAGGTGAAAATGTCACAGCTTGTTTCTTTCAGTAAGTGTTGCCAGGAGACACTGGGGATAGTATCTAAGATTTTTTTTAAAATTAAATTTCTATTTTAAGATAATTGTAGATTAACATGCAGTATAATAAATAATATGAAGAGATCCTGTTTGCCCTTTTCCCAGTTTCCCTTAATTGGTAATATTTTATGAAACTGTTGCCAAGTATCACACATGAAAAATTGACACTGACACCACTTTCTCATCTCATTCAGCCTACGCCATTTTGCATGTTCTCATCGCCGCGTATTTGTGTGCATCTGTATATTCTCTGCAGGTTTTTTTGTTTTTTATTTTTCACATCAGAGTCTCACACTGTCGCCCAGGCTAGAGTACAGTAGTGCAGTCATAGCTCACTGCAGCCTCAAAGTCCTGGGCTCAAGAGATCCTCCTGCCTCAGCCTCCCAAACATCTGGGACTACAGGTACACACTGCCACACCCAGCTAATTTTTACATTTTTTGTAGCAACAGAATCTCACTATGTTACCCAGGCTGGCCTCGAACTCCTGGGCTACAGGGATCCTCCTGCCTTGGCCCCCCAAAATGCTGGGATTACAGGTGTGAGCCACTGTATCTGGCCAGTTCTGTGCAGTTTTGTCATGTATAGGTTCATGGTTCCACTATCATTTCAGGCTGTAGAACAGTTTAATCACTACAAAGATCCCCTGTGGCAACCTTATATAGCCACACCCATCTCCCTCTCATCCTTTCTTCCCCCATTCCCAACCCTTGGCAATCACCAGTCTGTTCTCCATCTTTATAATTTTGTCACTTTCAGGAATATCCTATAAAAGGAATCATACAGCATGTAATCTTTGGGATAGGCTTTTTCCACTTAGCATAATTCCCTTGAGATTCATTCAAGTTGTGCATGTCAGTAGTTATGTTCCTTTTTATTGCTGCGTACTATTCCACGGCATGGATATACCAGTGTGTGTAACTATTGCCCATGGAATGACATTTAGGTTCTTTACAGTTTTTGACCATTACAAATAAAGCTGCTGTGGCATTTGTGTATAGACGTTTTTGTGTAAACATAAATTCTTTTTTTTTTTTTTTTTTTTGAGACGGAGTTTCGCTCTTGTTACCCAGGCTGGAGTGCAATGGCGCGATCTCGGCTCACTGCAACCTCCGCCTCCCAGGTTCAAGCAATTCTCCTGCCTCAGCCTCCCAAGTAGCTGGGACTACAGGCGTGTGCCACCATGCCCAGCTAATTTTTGTATTTTTAGTAGAGACGGGGTTTCACCATGTTGACCAGGATGGTCTCGATCTCTTGACCTTGTGATCCACCCTCCTCGGCCTCCCAAAGTGCTGGGATTACAAGCGTGAGCCACCGCGCCCGGCAACGTAAATTCTTATTTCCAAGATTTTGATCATGTTTTTCTCTTTTCCTTTTTCTTTTCTTACCTTGTGTTTAGATATCCTTTTAGATTTAGATTCTCCTGCTCCTGTCACGACGCCAGCACCAACTCCAGTTTCTGCAAGCAACGACTTGTGGGGAGACTTCAGCACTGCATCCAGGTAATGGGCATAGTGAAACTAGCATACTCTCAGTCCGGGTGTAGAAGATACGTACAGTCAATGGAAATCTTTGATCTAGAAAAGTGATGAATTTGCAGTCACTTAAGAGTCTTTCGCAGGAGTTCTAGTGAAGGAAATACAGTAGTTCTGGGAATGGTGGGACAAGGAAGCTGTAGGATGAGGTTTGAGTGGGATGTTTCAGGCCTTGGTAAGTAGAATTGCCATGAAGTACGGTTTTGGAAATTCTAGGCAGTGGTTTCTTAGAAACTATTAAGTAAAGAATGGAGTTGTTATCCTAATATTATGTCTTTGGCTTTCTCTATTCTCCTGTCTTACAGCTCGGTTCCAAACCAGGCACCACAGCCATCCAACTGGGTCCAGTTCTGAATGGCATTGGCAGGACATTAAGGACAGACTTGAGGAATAAAAATGACCTTGAGGGCACCAGTCTGTGAGGGAAGTTAGGAACCCATTTCCTCCCCAGAACCGAAATGACTGGACAATCTTTTTCATAGCTTCAACATTACCTTCAAGCTGGTTTATGCCACTCCCCTATGTTGTTACTTGTACAGCCAAGAGAGTATCTGTTGTCTCCTGCTTAGTACCAACGTAGGGGACCAGTGGATCTTATAGTTTTGGCTGACTATGCAGGGCTCAAAAGACCAGTGTCTGAGGGGGGAGTGACCTCTAGCATCTGTAAAATTTGTCTCATCTTTTAAATTCTTTAACTTATTTCAAAATCATCTCATGACCCTTGTGTGCCTCTTTGTGAAGCCCTATTTAGCAATTTCAGGGGAGGCAAAAACCTTGCAACTTCCTTCACCACTAACCCAGGACTAAAAATAGACAGGCTGACCTCAGTGTTTACAGATTCAGAATTTTGACAGGGGTAGATATGGAGAAAGACCTATTTCCTGGGTCTCTGCTGTGTAGCCTCCTTCAGGCTTGTCGTACTCAGTGAACATCCAGTGCTGGGTGCCGCTCCATCACCCTCTTGTGTGTTTATATGTCTCTTTCTGTGATAAGAGGGTTGTGTTGGTGGCACCTCCACTATTCTTTTCTGTTTGTTGAATTTGAATTGTGTAACATCTTTGACCAGTGGGTGTCTCTGTGATGAAGGAGGTTCAAGAGGCTGTGCTTTCCAAGTAATATTCTATAGGAGTGTTTAATTTCTTGCAGCTTCCTCTGGTAGCTGCATTTGAAGCATGGCATTAATTTGTGTTTGCCCTGTTATTTGACCTAAAGTTGAAGGGTTTAGAGTTTTTAACCTGATCTGTAGAGCAGAGAGGTTGAAAGCACTCAACTCTTGTTTAGTACCCACATTGCCTTGCTGCCTGGGTATCTGGCCCCTTTCCATAAACATTTCTTTTCAGTTCATGTAGTTCTTTAATAGAAAGCTGCTATTATGTGTATTGTCATTTGTGAAGGAAGTCGGAGAGTCACAGGTTTACTGTGACAGGTTTTGCCCAAGGCTTCGATACCTGTCACCCAGGATATCTGAAAAGCAAATTGTTCTCCCACCACTTTCCTTTCCCTCTGCCCTGCCATTCCTTTACAATGCTGTGAAAAAAGTTCTGCTTCTTAGATGAATGGGTACTTTCTATTTTGTTTCTAAATGAGCAATTTTGAGGATGAAATGGGAAGATATAATTGCTTTCCTTTTGCACCTATCTGGATATGTACACTCTGGCAGAAGGGAGTCCTTATGTTTCAAAATATATTACTTTCCTGGATTTCCTTCTTAACTTTTTCTGACTTTGGGTCCATTTTCTTTTCATTGCCTCCTTTTCTAGGCAGCTCCATTCTCGCAGAGCCATGGTAGGACGTATTAAAATACCAACAGAAAACACTAAAAGGAAAGTGTTGAATCACTAGTGACTAAATACTGGGAACCTATTTTCTCAATCTTCCTCCATGTTGTGTTCTTTGTATTCTCAAGATGATAATATATTATGTATTTGAACTCCTGAAAAATGGAAAATGTTTAAGATGTATGTATATAAAGCATATGTTGTATTGGTGCAATAATGGTAATTAAAAATATGAAAAAGGTAGTGTCTCTTTTATCTTTTAATTTGCTTATTTGATTACCTTTTACATTTAACTGACCAGATATAAATGGACCAGTAGGTAATAAAAGATATTTATATCACTTTTTATTAAGAAATAAAGGTTGTCTGGGTGCGGTGGCTCACAGCGTAATCCCAGCACTTTGGGAGGCCGAGGCGGGCAGGTCACCTGAGGTCAGGAGTTCGAGACCAGCCTGGCCAACATGGTGAAACCCCATCTCTACTAAAAATACAAAAATTAGCCTGGTGTGGTGGTAGGCGCCTATAATCCCAGCTACTTGGGAGGCTGAAGCAGGAGAATTGCTTGAATCCGGGAGGCGGAGGTCGCATTAAGCCAAGATGGAGCCACTGCACTCCAGCCTGGGTGACAGAGCGAGACTAGACTCAAAA